AAAAAAGAACAAGAGAAAAACATCGTGCGCACCAGACACTCCCATGCAACAACATCCCAAAAAAAGGACGACGTTCATCAAAATAACAGCGCCGACGGCCCACGGACCACACACCCGCGCCATCACCCCCGCCTCCGAAAATAAAAATAATAAACCGGAACGGGCCCCCCGCACCCCCACCCCCTCAACAGCTTTTCTTTCGCCGGGGGCCGGCGAGCGAAAAACCAGACGACAAAAAAAAAAAAAACGCGCCGCCGCCAGCGCGCGCCCCCGGTAATGTGGCCGCTGGGTCCCGGGGCCCCGCCGCCTCCTCCCGCGGGGAGGGGGAAAAAAAAGCCCGATTCGCGGCCTTCTCCGCCGGCTCGGGCGGTCGTGCGCCCATGTCGCTCCGGACGCCGCGTTCATTGGCGATGGGCGTCGGGCAAAGCCCTCTGGGCGTTTAATTTCCCGCGCCGCCCGGGGGATCGCCCATCGGAGCGTGTTTGGCCATTTCATTTTTGTTCATGTTTTTGGCCGTTGCGCGTGGGAGGCCCGCCTCGGCAATGGGGTCGCCGTGGGCCCCTTCGGGTGCAGAGCGAAGGTTTTTCTCGCCTCCCTGAGCCCCCTCAGCGGCCAAATCCAATTTTCACAACTGGAGGGCATAATTGTTGTTACTATCTTTAGGGTCCCTGCCGCTTCTTTTTTAGCAGCGTTGACATTAAAGTGTAATGTGCAAAAGAAACTACTGCGGATGGCATGTTGACGCGTGCCCCAGGATCTTCTTGGATAACGTTTTCTCCCAGTGCGGCTCTGCTAGCCCCGGTGCTATATGACGTTATTAGCTTATGAACCAGCCAACTCTGCAGAAGAGAATTTGCTGACCCATGGCTTCCCTCAAAATAACAAGGGGCAACGGGCACTGGCCTCAACTTTCGGCGCCCAAACGCCCCCAGGGGTGATAGCGCCCCCAAGGTCGCATGAATTGAAAAGAAAAATAAAAAGAATTTGTTTTTTCGGGGGCGGCCCCCCGCTCGAAAACCCCGGAGGGGACGGAGCGCCTCGCCCAGCCGCCGGCCCGCGCCGGAAAATCGCTAATTCCGAGCCCCTTTTTCTTTTTTTTTTTTTTTTTTTT